GGGATCCTGAGGACCCGAGAGTGAGGGATGCCTGCGCAAGCAAGGCAAAGGAGAAGGGTTAAAATGTCTCTCAGGAAGCCCCTTAATTCATGTCCTAGCCTGCGGTTCTGCAGCGCCTTTGTACCCAGAAGCTGGTTCCTTCCTTGCACTCAGTGGACTCAGCTGACGCTCCAAGTTTCGCTTCCTGCGAAGACTGGCAGGACCAGGGCGGGAGCCCGCGCGCATACTTAAGGTGAATGTCAGATGGTCCAGTTGCGCCAAAAGTGGAGGGAAAGAGGAGCTGGGCCTGGGGGAACAGGATTTCCGCGCCTCTGGGGCGCGGCCGCTCGGGGCATGGCCACACAAGGCTCCCTTTGTGGAGGGCCCTGCTCCAGCGCAGACCTAAGTCAGCGAACAATAGTGCAATGTTGCCTTCCCGGTCACACTGCGGCGGCCGAAGGCGAGGAAACCGGGTGGCGCTTTTTTATAGACGCAAATATAAAATCGGGGCTTTCCCCCCTTTCGCTCGCCCCTTGCCCCGATGCCGATAGAAAGCAGATAAATTTATGAAGGGCGAGCTAAGAGAATAATTACAGGGTGAAGGCCGTTAAATTTTATTTCCAGTCCCAAAGGCAAAACCTGCGATTTTATTGCAAACATCTGGAAGGACCGAGAGGTGGGCACGCTGCTGGTTTAAAATAAAAATAGAAGATTTTATTTCACGAAAACAAAAAAACATCATTAAAGACCTTTTGCCCCCACTGGAGTTTTATTTTTAAAAAGTGTGAGGGGATGGCTGAGTAGTCCGTGACTCAGGATGATCTCGCAGTTCTTAGGGACCTGAACCAGCCAGGGCGACTGGAGACGCGGTGCACAGGAGCAGGCCCGCGCCCAAGGCTCCCGCTCTGCACCAGAGGGTTCCAGGACACATAGGCTGCACACTCCGTGCCTTTTTTTTTTTTTTTTTTGTGGCTTTGGGTATTGGAACAAAGTGAAAAGTAGTATTGTTGCCCTCACGTTCCAGAAGATTCAATCACAGACATAATAAAACCTCAGGTCTGTCCTGCTCCTGACAGAGACCTTGATTGTTTGACTTAGTTGTAAATCATTTGGACCCTTCACTCTGAAGACAGGGAAAACTGAGATTCTGCCTCCTTTTGACTTGCCTAAGGCCACACAGTTTGGAGCTGTACCAGGCCTGGTCACTAGGCTCCACCTTGCCTCAGAGTCCCTATGGTTTCTTCCTACCCTATAGTCACCTCATAACGTTTATATCTACCATGATGGCTGAATTCATTAGCATTCTTTTGCCCCCATACAGTGTCCTGCCCACGTGTTTAGGGGCAGCCTGACATGTCCTGCTGGCCGGCTAGTTTATACTTTTGTTTTCAATTACTCAAAACTCCAAAATCAAAGCTGGCTGGTGGGTCACCTTAGATTGGGGCACCAGCAGTGGTGGAAATTAACATGGTATTTGGTGTGGAAGGTCTGGGAGTGTCTTTTGTGTGTTATGACTCTGATGCTGTAGAACTCACTTTTGCCTTTGAAAAAATCAGAATATGTGGGGATGGCCAGTTTTAGCTGAGCATTTTCTGTACTGCCCTTCTCTTTCTAGTTTTCCTCCTGCCATGGGTAGACCTGGGCCCCCACCAGTCATTTGTCCCTGCATACATATTCCTACTATGTATATGCATGTGTATCCCAACCATATACACACTGTATACCTATATATATAGTTGTACTTTATACATCTGGGGAATTTTCTCTGATTTTTCAAGGGTTCAATGACTTCTCTTCCTGTTTGGGGTCCTGCAAGGGGCAGGGCTGGGAGCGGCTAGCTTGCTCCTTGTCGGTCATCTTGAGACTTGAAAAGAAAAAGATATGAAGTGGATCCATCACCTGTAGGATCTACCCAGGGTAGAAGAGAGAACCTGGAGTTGGGAAACCTGGGGAGTGCTTAGAGTGTGAGCTATGTACTAGGCACCCCACGCTTATCCTTAAAGGTTAAAAAGAGAAAGAAACTAGGGCAATGAAAAGCTATTTTGAAAGCCTTTTGAGTCAATTGAGGGCAAATGCATACCACAAGTCCACATTCTCACAGTTAATCACCACAGCCCTCCTTTTCCCATTTCCCCTGGATGGCATGCTATATTGTACACCTAAGTTACAAATATTAAACCATCTTTCTTAATCTTTCTCCAGGTCTTGCTCCCCCATCAGGATAGAGTTACACACTAAAGAGCACATATCCCTGGGGGAAAAACTTAGATTAACCCCTATAGCTTCACAAAACTTCATTGCCCCTCTTTTGTTCTCATGACAGTTTCCAAGCCGCTTATGTTCACTTGGGTCCCATGGTTTAAGTGTCCTAATCTACAATTCCAGGATATATATGTGTGCAGGTGTGTGTGTATGGGGGAGCAACCTGTGAGCATCTTAAAGGAGGGATTCAGGAACTTGCTGAGAACTCTGCCTTGGGATGGGGTATGTATGCATGCCCTTGAAGGCACTGCTCCTTGCTCTTTATATGTCTGTGGGACATTTTGGTTGGTGGATGACCAAAATATCTTCTTTCTTGGGAAACTGGTGTGGCCTCAGATAGGGTATGTAGCCTGTGGTGTACCCACTTCTCAGTCCAAACCAGGCCTGTAACAGAGTAGAAGGCAAGATGTGCAATATAGGCAATGGAGTGGAGGAAAGGCCTGGAACAGCCTAGAGGCTGGCCCAAAGCTTTCTCACCAGACCTGGCTGAGGCCTCAGCCACTGGCATCTGACCCTTGCTGTGGGGTCTAGGAACACCAGATCAGGAACCTAGATCAAGGCCTGAGACACAGAGAAAGGAAATTGCACACATGTGGCTGACTTTATCTCCAGTATTTTTGCAGATCACTTTTTAACCAAGGCTCTTGCAAGCAATGGAGAATGGTGATTTAGGTGACTATGCTAGGAGATCTCATACCTTGCCATGTGGGTTCCCAGAGGCTCAGTGGCGGGAGTCCCTGGTGTCTAGATCCACTGGGTTCTTGTCATACCCCTGGGGACCTTCAAACCTGAGCCACAGATTCCAGGAAGGTTGAGGGGGTAGGCCTGACTGTGCACACCCATCCAGTGCTTTTTCCATCCTTTGTTCTGCATTTGCTGTGCCAGCAGCTTCTTCTTGTCCAGGTTGGGCATGATTTGAGGGAAATCCAAAGTGGTCTTTTTGCTTTTCTCCAGAGGCCAAGGCCCATCCACAACACTGAGTTGTTGCTTCCAGAACAGTAGTGCTTTCAACTGCCATGTCAAGGACCAGATTTTCTTGGGCCCCTGGACAGTCAGGCCAGGAATGCGATATTGTCCCTTTTTGCCTCAAAGTGGGGGAAAGCTGGTCCTCAGAGGCTTCCAACAGGCTATAGATCCCCCAGCTTAAACTTACAGGTTCACACCCTGCTCAGGGCCTGTCTGTGAGCAGGACTTTTTTGGTGGGCCTCTGGTCCACAGCCTGCCCGCCTGCGGCTTTTTCCAGCTCTTTAGTTCAGGGATGGAAAGGTTTTTCGACCTGGGCATTAGAACAGAAAACAAGGTTGTCTCGGCCGCTGCCCGGGAAATTCGAGACGTTTTTCCAGCTGGGCAGGACCAAATTCTAAACTCAGTCTGAGTTTGGCCCGCGCAAGATTTCACTCCGGCTTTTTTGCCACCCGCATCTAGTGGGAGAACCTGGAGGGGGTGTAGGAAATAACGATAGCCAGGAGTGTTGCATTTTAAGTTCCTTAGCCATCTCTGATGGAAGCACTGCCCTGAAGGATTTTTTAAAAAGAGGGTAGGAGGGAGATGATTAGCAGGGAAGGAGAGCCAGGCTCTCGAGGTGACGGGATTTGAAGGGAATTTTGAAAAAGTTCTTTCTCAATTATCAAAGTTCTTAGCTGCCCATGCCCGATAACCCTCTGTGGGTCCTTTGGAATAAGAGCCCGGAATAGGCGAAGCGCAGCCCAGTGTCTGCGCCGCAGCGGAAGCTAGTATTTGCTGCGTGCGGGGCCCAGCCTAGGACGGCCCGCAGAGCTAGCGCTAAGCACAACGCCTCACCGCCGGCCTCCAGCTCTCAGGGCGCCCGTGTCTCCTGCTCTAGCAGGTAGAGCTGGAAGTAGGAAGCAGACTATATATGTTTTTCAGTTGCCAGATTCTGGATAGTAACGGGCATTTTTGTTTGTTTCGTTTTGGTTTAACCAGAGTTGCTTAGACAAGGTCGAAATGGAAAGTAGTAGGAACCTGTGTGGAGAAATCGGGTAGAACCCGCAGATGTAAAAGCACCTCGGGACAGGAATAAGATGATCGCAACCGTTTTCTGGCTTTTCTCGGACAGATTAACATTTTGTCAGAGCCCCTAAATTCCAAATCTGCAGCTAAGATGACTGATTTTGCAGTTATCCATGAGACCCAGTCTATTTGGGAGGAAAACGTATGGATTTGGGATTTGCAGAAGTCTGTAAGGGCGCAGGTCTGATCTTGACTTTCAGCTCCCTTCCCTCCCTCCCCATTCAAGTAACCCTAGGGGACCGGGAAGCCAGGGGTTAAAGTCCGCTCTGAAGCATCCCGCGGACTCCCTGCGCTCAGCTTTGGCCCGAGCCTCAGTCTCTCCCTTACTTTCATTGGTCGGCGCTCTCAGGGTTTCTCCTGTTCCCTTCTTGCCATTGGTTGGGGGCTGGCTTTCCCCCCGCCTCAGTCTTTTTCTTCCTCCCCCCTCCCTTTCCCTCACCCCTCTGACAAGAGCTCACAGCCGGCCCCACTTCTTCGGGAAGGGAGGAATTTAGGGGGGAAAAGTTTCCCAGAAGTTTGGATCAGAGGAAGGACGGGAAGACCAGGAGGGGAAAAGGGAGAGGAGGGAGGAGAAGAGAGGGAGGAGAGAGAGAGAAAGAAAGAGGGAGGAGAGAAGGAAAGGGAGGGAGGGAGAGAGAGAGAGGGGAGAGAGAGAGAGAGAGAGAGAGAGAGAGAGAGAGAGAGAGAGAGAGAGAGAGAGAGAGAGAGAGAGAGAGAAAGAGAAAATGAATTAAAAAAAAAAAAGAAAAAAAGATGAAGTCCAGTCGGCGCAGCCACTGAGCGCCTGCCCGGGTGGGTGGGAATCAGGACTCCAGCGCTCATGCGGCCAGCGGGCTCTAGTTCCTAGAGGCTGGGGCAGCTGGGAGCGCCGGTCCATCCCGCGGCGGAGGGCGGGGGAGGGCACAGGGGGAGGGTGCAGAGCACCCGCGGAACCAGCGCCGCCTCAACCTCGGCTGCTGCGCCTCCGCCGCCTCTCCGGTCTCCGGGCCGGGCCCCGCGAGCGCTAGGAGCGTGAGGGCGCGGGCTAGCGGGGACCCGGGTGCGGGCGGCTAAAATGAGTGAAAGGAGAAGATCTGCAGTCGCCCTGAGCTCGCGAGCACATGCCTTCTCTGTTGAAGCCTTGATCGGCTCAAATAAAAAGCGGAAACTGCGAGACTGGGAGGAGAAGGGGCTGGACCTGTCCATGGAGGCGCTGAGCCCCGCAGGCCCACTCGCAGACACGGAGGACGCGGGGACACACAGCCTGGAGCCCCACCCGGGTGAGTGCGTGGGATCCGACTACAGGGAGGCGGTCAGAAAGGGGACGCCAAACGGTGTCCACGGGTGTGGAGGGAGGCCTGGCCGCAGACGCCCTGCCTTGCTCCTATATGGGTTTCTTTTTCTTGGAGCAAATGTTCTGCGCCTCCCTAAATTCGCCGGAACCAACTTGGGGAGTTGGCCTGAGCTTTGCATTTTGGTCGCCAACAAGAAGCAAGAAGGCCTACTTGCTAGCACTCCATTCTTTTCTGGGAGTAGAGAACAGCTTTTGGGGGCCCATGTTCAAGGGCTTCAGGCACCTATGTTAAGGAGCGCAGTGGTCCTAGGCAACAGCAAGAGCCAAGAGGAGCTGGGACTTGTTTCTGAGAGCTCCGGAAGACTGGCGCTACTTTCTCAAGACCCGATATTTCCGTCTTGGGAAATGCCCAGTTTGTCTCATTTAGCCTCGGATCGCAGAGCTAGTCCCTCTCTCAACTGTCTCTTCCATGTTGGAGTGTAATCATAATTCTGCCCCATTAGAAACAGGAGTGGATGTTAGACCCGTTACCCTGAACCGTGAGTCACTTTTCAAGGCCCACATCTCTGAATTTGGGGGAGAAGGGTTTGATTAATTTGTGTCTAGGTTCTATGGACATTCTATGTACACGATGTGCACAGAACACGTAAAACGCAGGGTGGATGTTGATGTCTGTATTTTAGCAGAACTCTGGGTGGGGGCAACTTAACGTTTTGTATTAAGTGCCAAGATTTCATCGGTGCAAAAACAGCCCGGGGGAACAGCTGTGGTCAGAAGAAACTTGTGCGCACGCACACAAACACAACCCTCACAAGCTTGGTTTAGCGGCTTCAGAAATTTTCCAGCCCAGACTTCTAAAACCACGCTGGAGGTGCTCTTGCAGACCAGGCAAGGGCTGGGAAGCAGACCCGGGTCCAAATGCTGGCAAGACCCGGGTGGGGGGCGGCGGCCCGCATAGGAGTGGGAGCAGCCAGGAGTTCAGTAGCTTGGGGATTCCAGCCGGAAAGCTGGCCAAACCTAAGGAGGGACAGCTGTCGCTTACATTTTCTCTTTAGGCACTGACAGTTCAATTTCCATGCTCCTGAGGCTAATAATAACGCGATTAGCGAGTGACCTGCAGAGACAGGGTTTTATGAATTCTCCGTGTGCTTTCGGTCCGTTACGGAATTTGAGTTTAGTGCTGGGGAATTATTTTTATTAGTCGATGAAAACAAAATTAAAAGATTTATTTCATGCGTCCAAGCCTTTATCTATTTGGATACTGCTGCAGGTCCACGCGGACCCCTGCGTGGGCAATTCAGGAAGGAACCTGTGGTATTACTGTGTTTGCCTTCTTTGGCTAGACTCTGTTTTCCTCACCTAATTTAATTGTTTTCAAAATCTCATTAGGGTCTTCATACAATTACTGGAGATTCTTACAGGCCTTAGGACAACTCTCAATTTGGGAGGTTCTTTTATTTTCCTGACAGTGGAAAAGGCAGAAGTTACTTAGGAACTTTTATCTTGGGAGGCCACAGAGCCATCTAGGGTCCTATGTTCAAAAGGGCCAACATGTGGGATCCAAATTAGGGACTCGGCTCACCGTTTGCTCTTCTGGCTCTTCCAAGGGGATGTGAGGAGAAAAAGTGAGGTGATCTGGGCAAAGGGGGACATGAATGTGGGGAACTGGTGTTCAGGATTCTGTTCTTGAGCTCCTGAGAGAGGGGGGCGGGGCGAAGTGGAAGTCCGAATATAGAATTTGCTTTATGTAACAGAGTTCAGTTGCTCCGTCCCATTACTTCGTCACCTTTCTAAAAAGAAAAAGATGGACGTGTGGATTAGCGAAAACGAAATATATCTACGGGCAAGAGTCCAGGGGGAGGAAGAAGTCAAAGCCGAGAATGCTCTGGGGCTTTCTGCGGAGCAGGGCTATGGGTCCAGTGAGACCTGTTCTGCTCTTGAGCCGAGGAGATCCCCAAGTTAGAGCTCTGGAAATGGCTAAAGCTTTCTTGCGATCTGGACTTAGGACGAGAAAATGTCCTTCAGGAAAAGGGCGCCTCAGCTGGGAGATGCGGCTGTCAGAAGAGAGTCGGGAGGCAGAGCTGCTGGCTCTGGACCCCGACTGTAGCAAAATTGGCGACCTGGGGACTGAAGCCTTTTCAGGCCTTTCTTTTTCTTATCTTTTATAGCGACCTAACACACACACACACACACACACACACACACACACACACACGGCCACATTTAAAGACATATGTATGGATAAGTAGTGCAGGTGACCCTCCAGTTCTGGGCAGTTTCTCTGCCTGGCTGGGCCTTGCAGTTCTGTTCAATTTGCCTTCTCTCTGTTCTAGCCAGGAGGTTGCTGCGTGGCTCTCGGTCTCACTAGAGAAACCCATCAAAAAGAACATCACACCCCCCTCCGCCACACACACACACACACACACACACACACACACACACACACACACACACACACTACACTCCTTGCCTAGAGCAACTGTATTTTTCAGTCTCACTATCTCCGACTGGGACCGCTGCTGTCAGACTGCCTTTCTGAGCCTGAAATTAACAGGATCCTCAGACAACTCAAATTGTAATTCTTAACTTTAATTCAAGCCTTAATCCAAAGAGCGGTCTTTTGCTTATTCACAGACCACTTTTCTTTCCGAGTCTGGACAGAGCTGACTTTAAGTTGGCGCCTGAGCAGCTGCAGCCTGGGGTGCCAACCTACAGCAGCGGGAGCCAGCCTGACCTCTGCGCTGTAGGCAACCCACCCACCAGAGCACACCGTATGTATCTCAAAAATTTCCATCCTGCCTATGTGGCCCGGAAAAAATCCGAAGCCCGCGGGTTTGTGGAGGACGCTTGTGAGGTACTGTCACTGAAGTGCCTGCGCCTGCACCGGCATCCTCTGTCTTTTGGGGAAGCCACTAGGGCTCAGATGCCACTAGTTGGAGAGGGTCTCAAGGACCATTTCCGAGGAGCCTGGCTCCTCCTCCCCTTTCTCTAAGCTGCAGTAGAAGAAAATTTCAAGCCAGGATGGGCCAGAACAGCTGCTGTGGCTGCAGCGCGCCGTCTGCGCTCAGACCCCATCCCTGGCTGCACCCGGCTTCCCCAACTCTGGCTTGGGCCTTTCTGGGCCACATCCTCCTAACAGTGCAGTGGAGACCTGGTCTCCCGCGGAGCGAAATAATTCAAACCTTCTGAGGAGGGATTTCTCCCTTCAGAGCCTGCAGGCCTGAGCCTTGTCACCTTGGCGCCCGAGAGGCCAGGGAGGTGGCCGCGCACGCAGGCATGTATGCATAGGCAAGCTGATGGGCACTCTGAGCCCACGCGCACGCGCGCAGCCTCGCGCTTTCTTGTATGCACCCATCTGCACAAACTTTAGGGAAACAAGACAGAAGAGGCCCAAACAGAAACCCCAGGGCATTTTCTTTCGAGTTACTGAGATGAACTGGCCCCGTAATTTAATCTGCCAGTCTGCTCACAGTAAAACTCTTAAGGTTTTAATCCTGACGTTACCTCTTTACCCATCTTACTCCCAATAGGGAAACAGAGTGAAGGAGAGGAAGTTGCTCTTTAAGTTACAGATAAAAGTGATGAGTTGGAAGCCAGTGGAGAGAACACTCAAGGGTACAGGCCTGGGCTCTGACCATAGAGGTCTCCTGGGGTAGAGGCCAGGGCAAGGAACCCTAGTTCCTCCGTACTTCTTAAGTGGCTTCTGGCACCGATACAGGCCTTCAGGGTGCATGGCCTCTGCCCATAGATGAGCCAATTCTGGGGCCTGTCGGACTTTTTTGTAAGGCTGTCGCCTATCAAGTCAAAACAGTCTTCCATCCAGGCCACTCCTTTGGTAAACGACCTTGTATGAAAGGGAAAGGAGGGAGGAGGTAAGGCCTGAATTTTTTGTCCCCAGGAGAGGATGCTTGTTCGCTGGGATGACTGCAGAGAGAGCACCTCAGTGGCTCCTGGCAGTGGGAGCAGTTTATGGAGACTTTCTGTGTGAAACCCTGGCCCTGGAGCAACCATATAACAGAAGCCACTAAGAAAAGGGAAGTGATTCTAGTCTGCTCAGTCTCAAAGAAAGGATCACAGTCAGGAGGAAGGGGAATAAGGAAAACATTAATGTTCAGAGTTTGGGCCACAATGGGGAGGAAGGTGAGTGTGCACCTTCCAAAGTCACCTCTATCCTCAAGTTAAGAAGCTAGCATGATGGTTTCAGTCATAACAAACAGAGCAGGGCACAGTGTGTCCTTTTGCTGCCTCTCACCAGCCTCTGTGGCCCACTCTGCATCTTGGAGACCGCCCCCTCTTCCCAGAAGCACAAATCTAATGTGTGATCAGATTATCTAGGTAGATCAGTGCACAGCCTCACAGCGCTGCAATTCGGAATTCCAGTCACCCTACCCAAGGCTATTTCTTATTTAACACTGTATTGGGGCTCCCAGCTTACAATTTTGTGTTGATTGATGAAATTCTCAGAAAGAAAAGTTTACGGGTGTCGTTTATGTGGGGAGGAAGGAAGAACTAAATTTCTTAAAGAGGAGTTCCACTGAAATTATATTGACATAGATTCCCTGCCCATTTCCTAACCAAAACCCCATCCTCCTATCAATTGCTTCAAATGGTATAAAATTTTAATTATGACAGAAAATTAGTTTAAAAGATCTTTAATCCATGCAGCATGTGAGCAAGTGCAGAATGCCGTGAAATGCCTAGCTTGAGGGCCCAAACTAAAATGATTAGGTATTAGTGATTTGTGTTCCGCATTTACACGTATAATTCCCTATGCACGTGTGGATGTGAACCTAATGGAAGTCCCTCATCCTTAATCCTACATATAGAGCTACAAGGAGAGAAAGACCAATATGTCTGACTCAGAAGACCTAAACATCCTGCCCTCCTGCAGGGCATTCATTGCTATAAAAATAAAGAGCAGAATATTCCAGCTCCATCAGAGTGTATCTTTTTGGCAAAAATAATAATATTAATAAAATGAGGGAA